ACTGCTCAGTGGGACGATGAACAATCAATTCCTGATATTATTTGCTTCGACGGGCCGTGAACGGACCTATTCCGTTACATTCTGATTAAATTTCACATACCTCTTTGTTATCCAGACATTTTGAGACGAGGAAAGATACTTTCTGGGTAACTGGGATAGTTGCCAAAACTGACAAAACAATATGAACAGGAGTTTTAGGTTGCTTCTCTGAAACACTGCTTGACGTAATATACAACAGGTTTCGTCCATACTGCCAGAAGTCAGCTCCATTTTTCCAATCGATGATTTTATTTTTAACAAATCCCTTACTAAATACGATTGTATTATTACACCAGTTCCTATTACACTTTGGATGGAGTTCCACCCCCACCCCCAAAATCTGCCAACCCTGATTTGTAGGAAGCCCCAGACTTTGGAGAATTAGTGCATATATTGATGGCAGCTCCCTTGCTGACCGGTAAAATACTTGAGCACAACAGTTATTTTGCTCTTATTTACCTCCAACTTTAGGAAAATCGAAGGTGTTGTCGTAAGATCAGATAAAAAATACCCGAGAACCATAAAAATGAAACATGCCCCAACAAAATAACCCAAGCTTGTTTAAGTTAGCATCAGTCGTCATGGTAACTGACTATCGGTAAAGAGTGTATGTGAGTACAAAAGAAACTATTTAGTCAGCACAGTAGCGCAGTGGCGTGATGACCCCAATGAATTCACCGGAATTTACCTCAGTCTGTTTGGATGCATTCCTGTGTAGGATGACGTAAATACTGGTTAGTCGAGTGCTGACCTAAATCACCTGCACTGTACGTGATGTGACGAATTTTCTCGTGTAGACTATGTGAGCAACACAATGAGCTGATACATCGTTTGATCTGTGGATTCGTTTTCTGACGTCACAGATTGTTTTTAGACCAAATGTTAAAGCAACGTTTCCAACCGTATGGTACGAAAGCCCTTTGGAATGGCGGCAAACGCCTTTATTGTTGCACGCCGACGCACACTGGAAACGTTGTCCTCTTATCAAACGGACATCTATGTGATTGTGTCACACCAAGATGCGAAAACGCAGTGGCATTCTCAGATACGCATGGGGTTATTTTATCAAAAGCACCACGCAAAGGTTTTGATTAGGTCTCAAGAATGCGGGAGATGCAGTCTATCGGGTGAAACGCGAGGGATTGTTCTTACGTATGTTGTATCTGGTCATGTTTCGAAGTGAGGATATTCAGGCTATTGTGTCTGATTATCGGTTTGCTGCTTGAGCTTGGCACCTCGACTGCAGACGTTCCGACACCAGTCGAAGAAACATAGTCACGGGGTTGTGCGTTATCCACTGGGTATTCTCACTGCCAGTATTTGTGCACCTCTGATATAACTCAACCATCACACAAATTTGAGTATGCCACCAAAGGTTCACTCATGTTGTTGACGCCTGTAAGCTAGAAGGAATAAGATTGTTGGTTGAACACATGGTGGTCTCTGTGAGAAGACCCCTTGCAAGTTCTGAATGGCTGTGGACACCAACGCCGCACACCACATGCATCAAATCGATTCAGTTAGCTTCTTCCTCACTCCTAAAATCCAGTTAAAAACTCCTGCAAGATGCCTCCGCTTCCTTCTCTTGGTAAACCAATCTAATGTGTATCTAAGAATCTCACTATTTTGTCGCATCTTGGTGTGACACAATCACATAGGTGTCAGTTTGATAAGAGGACAACGTTTCCAGTGTGCGTCGGCGTGCAACAATAAAGGCGTTTGCCGCCATTCCAAAGGGCATTCGTACCATACAGTTGGAAACGTTGCTTTAACATTTGGTCTAAAAACAATCTGTGACGTCAGAAAACGACGAAAACAGATCAAACGATGTATCAGCTCATTGTGTTGCTCACATAGTCTACACGAGAAAATTCGTCACATCACGTACAGTGCAGGTGATTTAGGTCAGCACTCGACTAACCAGTATTTACGTCATCCTACACAGGGAATGCATCCAACAGACTGAGGTAAATTCCGGTGAATTCATTCGGGTCATCACACCGTACTACCGCGCTGAGTATCTTAACCGATTGTCTTAGTTGATATTTGGTTTTGTGAAGACTGTTTCCAGTTTGGCCAGTTTCCTGATAATGGTTTGAGGTTGCCGTTTATTTGACTTGATTACATAGTAATGGGTAATATGGGTCGTGAGGTGTCGAAGAGTTTTCAGCAACTTTGTGAGTAGTTTGCTTTAGGAAAATATACTGCGATATCTCGAATATCGTACCAAATGAAACATCAGGCGGCCCATGTGCAGAACATTCAGTTGTAGAATATCATAAACGAGAGATTCAGTTGAGTCTGTGGTGAAAACCAAATTGATTTGCAAATTGGTGTATTTCTCCATAACAATCTAATTTTGGGTTCAAGTAAAACATAAGGTTGATGGAAACTCGGGGACTGGGCCTACCTGATGAGCCCCAAAAAGGACGAAACCGGTCGTGGACTGTGGAAGAGTTTTCAGTAAACTTGTGAGTAGTTTTTTCATAGTAATAGGTTCCTTGGGAGTTGTACAAGCAGTGATCCGAAGTGGAACATTCAGATGTTCTACCATGTATTTGGCGAGAACGAAAAAAGACTTAGTTTGCTGTGAGTGAAAGAAGGTAATCAGATGTAGTTGAACTCTGTGGTGGTCCTAAAAATTCAGATGAGCAATTTCTTGCAGGCGAATCGGAACCTAACTGACGGCGTATGGGATCCGGTTTATAGTTTAATTCTGTTTGCTAGATATAGCCTTTTGCGATTGAGGCTAGTCTGAGCTGGAAAGTCGAGAGGCACAAGACAGCTTTTTGAGGTTTGAACACTCGTCATCCCGGCTAGTAACTTAAGGCTATGCCGTTTGGACCCGAGTGATTCATCCGAAGTCTGATTAACTCACGCGATGACGGAATACAGAGCCGCTCATCCCATCACTCATGTAGTTCACACCGCGAGATCATATGTTGACTGGCCCCCCAGCGACAACTAGTCAGCTGTAAATCTCAACCTGTGTGATGTTCTCTTTTCCGAGATGAGTACTAATTCTTAGTAGACGGATTTGTGTATCTAAATGCCGTCGTTATTTTCATACCAGGATCGCAAACCTGATGGGTGCCGCTTGGTTTTTCAAGGTAGACTGACTTCCATTCACTTCAAAATCACCTCGCGTAACCTTTTGGTCCATGAACGTGGTGATCAACTGAAAGTTCGTGGCTGTGAACGTCACAAGGAATTCATGATGTTCTAATTATATATGCGCTAGAATTCTCGAATTGTAAGTCAGTTTTAAAAGCAGATGAGTCGTTATGCTATCTTGTTTCTCCCACATCACTTTGGGTGTTTTCGTGACTGACGACTAACTTGTTGATAACTTAGTCACATTCTTACTTTTATCACCTAAACAATGACGATGTGACCAACACAAATATTGCTAGAATAAACGAAATCTTCTGAGAATGTGTATTCCAGTGTAATGTTTCTTGAAAGCGGTTTCTATTCACAGCTCTGTAAATGACAGCTAACCGTATAGGCAATCAAAGTGGATTATGAATGCTTCCTTGTTTTGAAACAAACTGTATTCGGTGAAAAGGGTGCTATTCGACTGGGTTTTTTAATTCCAATCGGAAAAATGCAGTCACCTTTCTAACCAGCTGAATTCCTTTGATATTTGTCAGGCGGCAGACAGAGATTTGATAGATGTGGGAACGGGAAGTCCAGGTACATAAAGCATGAACTGGAGTTCCATCTGATGTTGGTCTACTCGAAATACCGACCTCTTATTTACACAGACACCATCTGGCATCAGGAATATACCGACTTCCTTTTCAATGTAGAAGTCACACATGGGGCACTGATAGATATCAGACGCCATTGCACCATGAAGGTGTAAGACAAATCAGCGTGTAGGTGTGAAGGAAAGTAGCAGCTTTCAGTCGCAGAGGCTGAGTTGTCTTTTAACTAGGGAATACGCTCTTTTAGGAGGGAGTTCACTAACTTACCGCTGGTTCAAAGACGAAATCACCAAACACGACCTATTGGATGTTTGCTTTTGCAAGCAACGAGTTCTCTGTAAACCGCAAGCAAGATTCCGGTGTCACAAGACTCCGTAGTGGCTTCTGCTTGGTTTATCGAATCACATGTCATAAGCGAATCAGATTCAGTTAAATCTGGCCTACTTGCTCAAGTTTTTTTGGAGGCGGCTGTCGTCTTCCATAGACTTTGTTGGATCAGCTAGATTCATTCACAATAGTCTGGATAAGTCTAAATATTTGATGTTTGCTTGTTCTTGCTATTAGAATGTTTAAGTTTTGGTTGATTATGTATTTGAAGACCAATAGGTGAACAGCTGTGTCAGAGAGGAATGTAACATGGAACAAACTAACATCCTAGTAAAGTTCACTTCCAACGGGTACCACCCTCTCTCTCCAAAAAACAGGTTTCGAAACGTTTATCACCGATATACATCGTAACCATTCTTTTATAAATTGTACCTCCTAACCAAGGAGACAGTCATACAGTGGCGACCTTCTACTAAAGATTTCGAATGACTCATCATCAAGTCTTATTTTCCGCATTCTGTTGCGGGAGACTGATGAAATTCTATGGAATGAAACGATTTTACTTCTACAAGTTTGTTCCGTGTTGAAGAAATACATTGTAAAAGTCAGTTATCATCAAAAAGAAAGGTTTCATTGGTTGATAATCAGTGGTTGATCATCACCCACCGATGATGTCCCTTCGTTTGATGACAAAATCTTTGCAGCTCGTTTGCCAAGTTCAACAAAGCGATCAATAGTCACCTGATACGCAACCAACAAACTCATCAGAGCTGCTAATATTTCAGTACATTACCAAGGCCCTCTTTGGAGGTCAGTTGAATCCTCCACTGGTATCCTAAAGCAGAATAATGTATAAAATACCTATGTAAGATTTGGGGTTAGGGGATTCTGCTTTCGAACCTATCATCCTAAAATGTATCGTTTAAAATATCCTTGTATATCCATGTTTTGCAACCTTACAAATGGAACCATCGTTTTCTTACTGGTTTGAATTCGTCCGACGGGAAACAGCACCAAGCAAAACGATTGCAGCACAAGAACTAAACACTTCACTGAAGAAACCACGGATTGCTGGAAAAATGTAAGCTGAGGTAATCTCGTTTAGTCAACAATATGATCGCGATAATCCCGTGCAGCGGTCATCACATACTACTTCTACCACAACCCATTTGTTTCAAGAGCGATTCATTTCACTTTTAACGTTTCACAAAGGAGACATTGCCATACATCTGTCTGGAATATAATTTCTCCAAGGGGGACCAAGATTACGGAGTAATAATTGGTCTTCTTCTCAGACTGGCTTTGGTTTTTGAAAATCGCACACCAAGTCGTGACTGGCAGGTAATGGAACTGTCGACTTTTTAAGAGAGTAGCCTCTTGAAGGGTTTCTAAACTAGAGTACCTCAATTGGGTTTTCGCTGTGCGGATTACTCCAGACGAACCGTAAGTATCACACCTTTTGGTAACCAAGATTGGAGCGTCTCAGAATGCAGTTATCAAAAGACTTTAGAACGCACCTTCAAAACCACTACATGAGTATGTGTATACATTATACACAATATAAATGTATAGATATACATGTTTATATGTCTGTGTACATTCTACGTAAATTTTATACTCATATTTACACATCCATAAATACATATTTCCAAATAAGACCTCCATGACAATCTTCTTTGAAAATGTCTTCAATGGACTTATTCTGCGGTCCGATGCCTACTAATTGCTTATCCTTCAGGAAAGACTAGAATGTAGCCTAATTTCACTTTGGAAGAAAACCAGCTGAGGAGAACCCCATGGTGATTTGTGTTTTTGGTAGTATACCGAGTTTAGAGTAATAGGACTTTGCAGGTTTCTTCGAACTTCTTCAGTTCTATGGAATTTGTTCCAGCGCAACGGTGGCTCTAAACGGTGGTGAAAAAGGGCTGCAAACTCCTGAACTCATTCGACAATTACAGTTGTTCCCTCGTGCAGCAATAATACCAAGAGCAAAAGACCACCCTTGAATGCCACCGTGAATCTTTTACTACCCCCATTTGGAACACAAGCCATATTTTCAAAATTTCTGACCGGAAATCAACTACATATTTCTGGACAGGTTTGACTCTTGAATTTGTTTCCTTTTGGTAACCAAGATTGGAGCGTCTCAGAATGCAGTTATCAAAAGACTTTAGAACGCACCTTCAAAACCACTACATGAGTATGTGTATACATTATACACAATATAAATGTATAGATATACATGTTTATATGTCTGTGTACATTCTACGTAAATTTTATACTCATATTTACACATCCATAAATACATATTTCCAAATAAGACCTCCATGACAATCTTCTTTGAAAATGTCTTCAATGGACTTATTCTGCGGTCCGATGCCTACTAATTGCTTATCCTTCAGGAAAGACTAGAATGTAGCCTAACTTCATTTCACTTTAAAACCAGCTGAGGAGAACCCCATGGTGATTTGTGTTTTTGGTAGTATACCGAGTTTAGAGTAATAGGACTTTGCAGGTTTCTTCGAACTTCTTCAGTTCTATGGAATTTGTTCCAGCGCAACGGTGGCTCTAAACGGTGGTGAAAAAGGGCTGCAAACTCCTGAACTCATTCGACAATTACAGTTGTTCCCTCGTGCAGCAATAATACCAAGAGCAAAAGACCACCCTTGAATGCCACCGTGAATCTTTTACTACCCCCATTTGGAACACAAGCCATATTTTCAAAATTTCTGACCGGAAATCAACTACATATTTCTGGACAGGTTTGACTCTTGAATTTGTTTCGCTACTAGAATGGAGAAAAGCCCTTGCTCCCAGAAGGATTCCGTACACTGTACAGACCTGAACTATTTTGACTCACAGACTCATATAAATGGGCTTTGGTGATTCACACACTGCAATGTAACTAAATGAAGCACCGCTTCATTCAAACAGCCTACCTTAGAGGGAGGGGACAGATATCACTCTGAGCTTCATTCTTCACAGTGCCTCTCGAACACTCATGGCGACCACATTGATGAAAATATTGAGCCCTTTTCAGATGATTTCTCTGCTACCTACCCCAACCGAGTGATTCTTCATTGTCCACCTTTTGCGGCTGCGGTTATCTCGGCAGGCAATCATTCTAAACTTGGTAGGGTTGTGAGCACGTTTCAGCTCGCAGAACTCACAAGCAGAAATGCGTGCGTTTGTTCATTCCTGTAAACACAAACGCGCACAAGTAATGTAGAGGTTGATTCACAGTTCAGTACCTGATGTAAAAGGTTTTTCAAATTGCTTACTGATACACCGGCATGAGAATAAACCGGTTGACTTAATGAGAACTCGTTGCTAATCTGGTAATCTCTTACAGACTTTGTAATGTACTGCTCATAAGGTTGCTGAAGATCCATCGACAGCCCACGACCGGTTTCGCCCGTTTTGGGGCTCATCAAGTAGGCGCAGTCCCCGGGTTTCCGTCAACCTAATGTTCTACTTGAAACCAAATTGCACGAAATCAGCGAATATACATTCATTTGCAAACTAATTTGGTTTCCTGAAAAACTCACCTGGAACCCAGCTGAATCTCTCGTTTTTTATGTTCTCAGACAACTGAATATCGTAGCGACTGAAACATGAGGCGGCTTGGTGCAGCACATTCAGTTGCCTGAGGACATCACAAACGAGAGATTCAGCTGGGTTCCAGGTTAGTCTCTCGAAAAAACCGAATTAGTTTTGCAAATGGTGAATATTCGCTTTTACAGACTTCTTTCGAAATTCTGCACTGTAATTGCGTCCTAAACTCATTCGCCTGCATGTTCTCTAGGCAAAATGAATGACACTGGAAGTATTAGGCACAAAAAACAGCTGCTCAGTAAGGCAGTGTCTCCCTGTGAGACAAGGCTTGCGTTTTTAATTATGCCTTCTGTCCGATTCGGTTGACTGATTTCAAATCTAATGGGAATTCTGGCAATGACTGTGAAGAAGCAGAAGTACTTAAAGTTAATTGTCTTTTATTGAGGGGAGTTCTAACGGGGATAGCGTGTATTTTATGTTGGTTTAAGCACTCAGTATGCAACACAGCTCAGATGACAAGAGCATACTACCATAGCTGTAGAGTTTTAACACGAAAAGTCATCTGACTGAGATCCAAGACATAGTTGGCTGGATGAAGTGATGTCGGCTGGTCACTGGATTAGAATTTCTGATGGACGGTCAGAATGGATTGGCTAATATTCATCGATCTTTGTGGTAAATCTTTGATAAACGAAGAAACCCGCAGCAAAATTTGACGAAATTGTATTTTCCGTACGGCCAGTTGAACCTTACGAGGGTGGTGAAAGTGGCAAAGAAGAAAGACGCTTGCTGCATCCGAATAAAAATTGTCTTGCAAGTGAAAACCACCCAGTCGGAATCAAATAAAAAAACAACAAAACGACAGATGGCCACACAACTCTTACCTTCAGACATTGGATGGCTGCATATGTAATGTCAACTGCTGCCAAAGTCTGACCAACAAAGGCAGATCGGGTCTTTTCTAGGTGACCAACTCCATCTAATTTAGAAGGCTTTGTGTGTTCAAGCTTCTGTGAATTCGACTCAGTCTGCATCAGAAGACAAGATACATTAGTAAATTTGAAAATTGTAGTACCCATTCTTCCAGGTAAGCTACTGAATAACCTCTACCAGTGTTTGAGAGTGGCTGAAGTCACTTGGTCAGAAAACATGGCATAACGGCTACATAAAATCCACAGATTTGAGAATTCAAAGCGAGAAAAACTAGCCACCTAGTTGCAGGTACGGTAAGTCATCTAGTTAGTGTTCAATAGAGAAATACTGTCCTACTGGTTATCTATATTTGTTTCGATTTGACGTTCATATTCCATCCCGTGTTGGTTATTGGCCCTGAGTGAGGCAGTAGAGTTATGAATGGAAACAAAACTTAAAGCGGATTTTGTCCAGCCAGAAAATTCGAATAGGTCCTAAAACTGTTTACTTATGGTCGGTTGGGGTGAATTCCTCAATCTGACATCCGGATCACTTGGATAACAATTCAGAGGAGACCGACCGACATTGTCTTCCAACAGCTTAATTGGTTTTCGAGAAATACACTCATTTGCAAATCAATTTGTTTTTCACGAGAGACTCAACTGTATCTCTGGTTTATGATATCCTACAACTAAACGTTCTGCACATGGGCCGCCTCATGATGAATTATTATTTTTTACTGTTAGATCTTGAACCCGTCTTATTGTTCTGAAGACCAGTACCCGCTCCGATGTTGAATTTTTTGTCGTAAGCATTTCGACGCCTGAAAAACACTTTCTATGTTGATCAATTCCAATTCATCAATACATTATACGATCTGTATTAGCTAAGGCAAATCAAGAAGGGCAAAATACTTGACTAAATTGAATATTGTCCATTTCGGTCAAGGCCGTGAAAAAACTTACTGTAAGAAAGCATTATTTTTCGAGAAATACAATCAATTTGGCTTTTTAGAGAGACTCAACTTAATCTCCCGTTCATGATATTCTACAACTAAATATGCTGCACACAGAACGCCTTTCGAATTTCACCAAACTTGTGAGTAGTTTCCTTTATGAAAATATACTGCAGTATCCCGAATATCGTGCTAACTGAATCATGAGGCGACCTGTGTGCAGCACATTCAGTTGTAGAACATCATAAACGGGAGATTCAGTCGAGTCTTTCGAAAGACCAAAATAGTTTGCAAATGCGCGTATTTCGCTAATTTCGTGCAATTTGTTTTCAAGTAGTACTTGAAGCTGACGGGGGGACTGCGCCTACCTGATGAGACCCAAGAAGGGCGAAACCGGTCGTGGGCTGTCGAAGAGTTTTCAGCAACTTGCGAAAATATACTGCGATATCTCGAATATCATGCCAACTGAAAAATGAAGCGGCCCGTGTGTAGCACATTCAGTTGTAGAATATCATAAACGACAGAATGAGTTGAGTCTCTCGTGAAAACGTAATTGATTTGCAAATGGGTGTATTACTCGATGACTTTCATTGTTTCATTATTTAGGTTTATCTCACTGTAATGAGCAAAATGCTTTGTTTTAAACCCAGCTGTATTGTGAGGCCCGATGCGAAAAGTTGATTTTGACAAATTCTCATAAGCCGTGCAAGTTGTCAAATGGCGGCCGCAATGGAAGCGTACCTCTGGCAGCTACTTTGTGTTCACTTTCTTCTCGATCGGTGACGAAAAATAAGAGAACGCGTAATGGCATGTCCAAAAACTGTCCAAGTGTCCTATCAAACGTGACAGCGATAACAACATCACAAACAAACTCAGTTCTGTGTACACAACTCTTCTGTCACGGTTCGGTGACAACAGGGGCTTACACTCCAATTTAATGTGGATGGAATACACAAGTGGGTACAGTGGATAACTTTTATCACGTTTTTCAATCAGACACTTGCTCACTTAGCTGAACTGGCCACCTTTCCCTCTTTCACACACGCTTGGTTCCCCCTCATGGATTGTCGATTGTGTGCCTCCGCCTAAGAATTACGAAACAAGCAAGTGCTTCTAAGACTGTTTATGGCATTTTGCTTGTCAAAATTTGTGACAACCAAGGCAAAATTGGGGTGTTACAGAACGGAATCTATAAAGTTTTGAAAGCCATGAATATCAATGATCTCTGTGTACGCTAACAATATTGAGATTTTCATAAAGGAAACTACTCACAGGGTTGCTGAAAACTCTCCGACAGCCCACGATTGGTTTCGCCCTTCTTGGGGCTCATCAGGTAGGCGCAATTCAAGTAGATCATCAGGTTGACGGAAACTCGGGGACCGCGCATACCTGATGAGCCCCAAAAAGGGCGAAACCGGTGTTACTAAAAGGCTAAACCGGTAATGAGCGGTGGAAGAGTTTTCAGCTACCTTACGAGTAGTTTCCTTAATGAAAATATACTGCGATATCTCGAATATCGTGCCAACTGAATCATGAGGCGGCCTGTGTGCAACACATTTAGCTGTAGAATAATATAAACGAGAAATTTACTTGAGTCTCTCGTTAAAACCTAATTGATTCGCAAACGAGTGTATTTCTCGAATATTGAGATTTATTTCACTTTGTAAGCCATACCGGAGACTTAGTAATGCTACCGACGGATATCAGCTTCAGTCCCTTGGGGTAAAACGACTTTGGGTTCAAGTACAAATGCTTAACAGGAATGAGCACTAATCATATATCAGCTAACCATGTTCTCGTCGGGTAAGCTATAGGCCATGGTTTTGAGTTTCAACAACCCTCGTTAAAACTAATTGATTCGCAAACGAGTGTATTTCTCGAATATTGAGATTTATTTCACTTTGTAAGCCATACCGGAGACTTAGTAATGCTACCGACGGATATCAGCTTCAGTCCCTTGGGGTAAAACGACTTTGGGTTCAAGTACAAATGCTTAACAGGAATGAGCACTAATCATATATCAGCTAACCATGTTCTCGTCGGGTAAGCTATAGGCCATGGTTTTGAGTTTCAACAACCATGCTCGTTTATGTGTCAAATTTATGTGGCCTCTGGAAGGAAGTCCTCATTTATTCTGGGAAAGTTCAGAACAACGACCTCTAAATATCTGAAAACTTTGCAGTCCGGATTATTTTAGCGTTCCTAAATCCACTGTTCGATTTACTTGATGTGAACAGTTCTAAAAGATACCAGGCTATAAATATGCCAGTGATATATTATCACGTGGAGCAAATGACATCTTATATTTCAGGCAATCCTTTAATCACTTTTTACTACACGACCTGTATTTTGGAATTTTCTTTAGACACTTACGCATTCACCACCCACACCTTAGGTTTCCCTTGATTTACTTTTCCCTGTCCACAAATTAATTGTACACACTTAGGAAATCATGCCTGTCTCGGAAAAGACCAGTGACGTCGAACGTTCACTCTTGCCAATCAAGTTATCTAAGATGGTTTATTGGTGTGAGAGTGAATACACGTTAGAAACTCACTGCCTGTCTCACTCGGTTTACCATTTGTGAGTTGTAATGTTCAGCTGACCAGAGCAGGCCAAACTATTTTGTATCAATCAAATTGCAATAGCCCGAAGTGTCACACATGAAGCGCAGTTCCACTGAAATGTGGGGTTCCAAAGGAACTCTCCAGATCTACTTCACAGTAGCACTATCCAATCTGTGCAAGGTCAGTTATATCTAAGCTAGTTTTAAGATCATTGCTCTCACGACAATGAAGGAAAGTCTTCCGGATGATTTTATTTACTGGCTCTGAACGGATCTGTGCAACCCGATGAAATTATTCCCTCCAACATAGCACAGGAAGAAAAGACTTTTGGGAGTTTAAGAAGAAATAACGATATGACATCAACAAAAGTAGTCTTTTTGAAGGGAGAAAAAATCGTTCAAGTAAACACTTAGTTGCCATAGTAAAACAGTTTTACCCGAGAAAGGGTGCGCTAGAATGATTTAATTGAAATGTGGCTAGTCTTGGCAGTTACTGGTTTACAGGATCCTATTTGCTGAATTCCTGGGTGTTTACTGGCAGGGGAGATATTCCCCTATGTCCATATCAGTGTTGCGATGCGTTGAAGTCACAAGTCAGTGAGGGAAACGACAGCATTTATTTAACCTCACATATGTAGAGACCGTTGACCGTTAACTCTCCGAACCACACCTGATGCGCACAGCGTATCACTAAGCTTACTTCCGCCAACAAGTGCGCTATCTCTATAAGCGGAACGTTCCGAAACAACTTGCCCTACGATTGGCAAATCTGGATTTGTTTAAACCCAAATGTGCAGTCTCATCAGAAACCAGAGGCACATAACTCACTAATGAAGCTCCATAGTTTACAATGGCAGAAGGCAGCACATTAAATATCATTATGAATACATTCCAGAAACACACTAGGAAACTCGGTGGTCAGAAAGTCCAGATTTTACAAGAAGAGGCAGTTGAAATTGCTGCATGAAACAAACGCGTGAAACGCTAGACAACGTTCAACTTGCACCAATATTTTTGTATCGTACTGAGCAAGCAACTTCAACTACACTTATGGTTCCCTCTTCTCGTCTTCTGCAAAGCTCTTTGGAGTTATGCAACTATTAAGATGAAAGCTCATCCCTCCGAGGCAGTGTGCTATTCCGAACCAAAAGTGGCAGAACGAAGCCTAGGCATACAAAGCCTCCTCAGTGGAATAAGTAATGCATATCACTGAGTCCGGGCATCGTTCAGACTGCACCAGAGGTGTTTTCATGATTATAAATATATTCAACAGTTTATCATGGTTTCAGTGGCCCAAACGTTTTGATTTAACCGTAAAGTGTAAGTGGCATTCACTTACTTACTTCATGCCAAAATGGACTGAGTTGAAAACAGAAGGTTATTTTTTACTTGGTGCATGATTTTAGTCTTTTTCTACACCACTTTGATTACAGTTCATCCATATCAGCAATCCATTCCAAGCGATGAATTACACATAACTGCCTTGATTTATGGTTAGAAGCAATACAATCCAGTAAGTGCATCCGTGATAAATACCGTTCACATTACTCAGGATAAATGGTCCCATCTATTGGTAACTTGTCAACAGTGGAATCACCCAAGCATACCCAAAAATGCGATATATATATATATATATATGTATGTAT